GAGGGGGTTGCTAGTAGCATTTAGTTTCAATTGATGAGCCTCAAGGATGCTAACAATTTTACTCTGGCAAGATAGTCCCCACACAACAAAGAAATGTTTCATACAAAATACCAATAGTGCCCCGTTGAGACAGACTGAACAATTACGTATTTCCTTTGAAATTGAAGTTTACATTTTCCAAAGTGACTGGCCCATTTTGTGGGAAAGCTGGAACAGTGGAAATGATTAGGTTGTCAGAAAAGTCATGGTATTTTTCTAGGCAAAAGAGCATCATGATTTTTCCAACAACTTAATATTATAAGATATACTGACACCAAGATATGCGCCATATGCAACAATAAAGATTAACAAAAAGAGAAGGCTGCTTGAATTCAATTAGTTGGAATATGAAATCATTCCAATTTACTCTGAGTTAGAAATAGCCAGAAGGAGCTGGCCCATTGAGTCTTTTAACTATGCATTCTAATGGAATATTTCTGAAGTTGTAATCCCTACTGTGGCTTGACTTTAATTCAAATTGAACTCCCCATTATAATACTCTTTATTCCCTAGGAGTGTGAACCTGTGCTTATTGAAAGTCAGGGTGACCTGTCAGAAAGGCTGAATTACTTTAGTTTGCACAGTTTGGCTTTTTTTTTAAGCACTGAAAAACAGGCAATGACATATGGCCTGATTTAGTGGGCAAATCAGACTTTTCAGTCAAATATTGAGGGTTAAAGGCTCATTTTACTATTTTCTAGAAGAAAGCTGTTTATTTCTCAAGCCTCTATTTATTGCCTCTGAAAACAGGGATATTATCACTGCCTACTCTATACCCTATAAAGTTGGGTAGGAATCAGATTTCAAATTCGTCATGAACACAGCTTATGAACTATAACGAAATGTAACAATACTGCACCAATGGTGTACTAAGACAGTGTTTGATTCTTTACTTGTTGCCATAGTAGAGGGAATAGAGAGAAATTTTCATTACTTTTCCTTATTTCTCCTTAATTATGACTGCTGAATATTTTTGGCAAAACTAGGTAAAGGAAAACAACATCATCTACATATTAATTAAGTAATCAAGTGAGAAAAGTTAATGTCCTTTCCCATGCTTTATGAGTACTTAATGAGCTACATTAAACAGTTACGGCGTTAGAGAAATGGCACCCATGTGATTGGGGCAAGTGAAGGAGTCCTCCAGGATCCTTTCTAAAGAGAAGAGGTCACATTGCCCTGAATGCTGTGGATTCCCTCAGCAAGTTGGTCTTATTCGGATTTTAAACTGAGATGAAAGGTCTTTAAAAAGTTCACGGAAAATGCATGTTATGAAAAAACTATGTGTGGATTTAAAAAAATTATACAGAAATAAACTCATACTTTAATTCCAATTTCCCATGAACTTTTAGATGTACCCTCTTACCATGGCTGTCAGAGCAGGAGAGTATGTTGTAGGCACTCAAATTTATCTGTATTACCAATTGATTAAAAAGCCAAATCACCTTACTTCCAGACAATATAAAAATTTCCAAATCTCTAAATTAATGCGAATATATTTCAGAGTCTAACCCTTCATATCTCATTCTAGGAAAAAATCCTTTGTCAATTTCTCTATTTCTATTAGAACATTGTCTTTGTGAATGTCTAAAATTCTTTATTCTGCTCCCCTACTCAGAGAGCCTACATACATGTAGCTTGGTTATCTTTGGCAACATTATAGTTAATCTCTTTCAATTGTCATCTTTTTTACAAGTTAACATCCTTCCCATAAACAATGGTCAAAATGTTGGGTTAGTTTAGAGTTTTCATTGTAATCAAGTGCCAAATCACATGTTTTATCTCTGCAATATCATTCTCTGTACACTCTCATCCACTGTTATCATATTGAGGTTTTAATAGGTTATATTTTAGACTGTCATAACAATTGTTCAGTTTTTCAAACTAAATGTCATCAAATAGTTATTGACAGCTTGCCTCAAACATTTACTAAATACCAGGGTTTCTAAGACATGGCCATTCCTTTCCTGGGGAATATAGAATTCAAAAATACCTAATGAATACTTAAAATTTCATCAAACTTTTCAACTTTGTAATTAAAAAAAAGTTTGTCTACCTGTTTTGTCTGAGAGAAAGAGAGAGAGAGAAGAAAGAAATGAAAGGAAGAAAAAGAAAGAAAGAAAGAAAATGAATGAAAAAGGTAGGTATCTCCAACAAGGTCGCCATACCATGATCCAACCTAGTCTCAGTCAGCTTGGATCATAAGCATGTCTGTGTGAACTGAGCATGCCCAGGGAGGTCCTGGATTACAAACCCAGCACTCTTTCTGTGTAGGTGTAGTTGTGCTACCACTGTCCCACTGCCTGTCCCCTCAAGTTTATAATATTCATAATGTATTTGCATAAAGTTGTAGGCTATGGTAAGTGATAAGGACTTGTAAATCTATTCAAATCCTTCACTTTGCAGACTCTGGTAAGTGACAGGCTGGGGCACAAACTGGGTCCTAGTTTTCTACTGTAGAGCTCTTACCACTTCACTAGGTACCTTCAGTGACAGGGGTAGGGAGATGCTCTGTCAAGATACATGGACTTGGGGGACCAGCAGTTAGCATAATGGCTATGTCGCTGGATTCCCACGTAGTCGACCGGGGTTCGTGTCCTGGACCTGGTGGCTTAAAACTCATGCTGGGCATGTGTGCATACGTGCCCAAGATCCCGAGACGAGAATGCAGGAGAAGGGATTGCGGCATGGCCATCCCCCCTGGGGGGGGGTGATTTCTCACTTTCTATCTCTCTGTCTCCCTCTGTCTGTCTGGCAAGTGCATGCGCCCTATAGCAAAAACCTCTCACAAAAAAGAAAAAAAGATACATGGACTTGGGACCAGCAGTTAGCATAATGGCTATGTCCCTGGACTCCCATGTAATCGACTGCGGTTTGAGTCCTGGACCTGGTCGCTTAAACTCACACCAGGCGCGTGTGCGTGCGTGCCCAAGATCCCGAGAGGAGGATGGAGGAGAAGGGATTGTGGCGTGGCCATCCCCCCTGGGGGGTGATTTCTCGCTTTTTGTCTCTCTGTCTCTCTCTGTCTTTATGGAGAGCATGCCCGTCCTACAGCAAAAATCTCTCAAAAAAAGAAAAAAAGATACATGGACTTGCGGCTGTGCCATTCAGTGTCCCTACGAACCACAGGTGGTAAAGAAGATGCAGAGATTCCCTTAGCTACAAGCCATTGGTGCTACTACTGCCTATTCTCTGGTGTGGAAAAATAAATTCAAAGAAGACAGGAAGGAAAATGAAGTCATACTGAAGATGTGAATGGGGCTTATCAAGAGCAAAATAAGAAAGTCAAATTGGGAGGGTAGAGGTATCTCAGAGCCTCTTGCCAGCATGAACTACTGTTGTTAACTCCTGGGTTATTTCTCTTTGGGAGGAAACCTCCTCAGGTATCCCCCTTCTTTTGTCCATAGCTCCCAACATTGCTTTTCAGCTTCCTTTTCCACTGTGATGATCTAGCACAAAGATGGGTTTTGTAACATTCCTAAAGCATTAAGGAACTGAATAGAGTATTCCTCATACAGTTTTCTTTTCTTTCTTTCTTTCTTTTTTTTTGTAGAGGTTTTTGCTATAGGGCGCGTGCTCTCGCCAGAAAGACAGAGAGATAGAAAGCGAGAAATCCCCCCCCAGGGGGGATGGCCACTCCGCAATCCCTTCTCCTCCATTCTCCTCTCGGGATCTTGGGCATGCATGCACACGTGCCCGGCGTGAGTTTAAGCCACTGGGTCCAGGCCTCGAACCGCAGTCGACTACATGGGAGTTCAGTGACATAGCCATTATGCTAACTGCTGGTCCCTTCCTCATACAGCTTTCTTTTATTGTTGTATTCATGAAGCAGATAGTGTGGTCCTTCAGGTCCTTTCTCAAGCATATTTATGCAAATAAGAAAAGGAAAGTGAGAGAAAAACCCGTTTAATTCTTATTACAGACTTTCTATTTTCTATTTCCTTACTATTCTTTCTTCAATAAAGTTAACATGTAGCAAATGGGGTGTTTGATGACTTGAAATAAGATTATTTTTTTTTTCCAGAGGAAAACCTAGATTTGAGTTCTTATTAAAATTTAATCCTAAGAACTGAATTCCTGAGGGAACGGGTAGAGAAGATCATTTTCCTGATGGGTAGGAAAGGAGATGATTGGAACTTGACAGTGTCAGTTGAAGTCTCAAGAACTAGGCCTGTGGAGGAGAGCAATACAAATAGTCCCTCTGTTTCTTCCCTTTCTTTCTTTCTTTCTTTCTTTCTTTCTTTCTTTCTTTCTTTCTTTCTTTCTTTCTTTCTTTCTTTCTTTCTTTCTTTCTTTTTGTTTTAAAGTTTTCTCCTCCATAGGGCATGTGTGCCCACCAGAGACTGAAAGAGACAGTGAAAAGGAAAGTGAGAAATCACCCCCTGAGGGAAATGGCTATGTCACAAATCCTTCTCCTCCACTTCTCCTCTCAGAATTTTAGGCACACATGCACACGTGCCTGGTGTGATTTTCAAACCCCCAGGTCCAGGAATTGAACTGTGGTCACCCTCATGGGCATCTACTGCCTTATCCCCCACACCATCTGCTGGCCCCTCTTTTCTTTCTTTTAATCATTGAAACTCTACTAATTCAGATCCCCCACTACATGAAGATTTGGAGAGAAATGAAAGGGAACTCTGAGTAAGAGCACAGGTTACAGCAGAACATATACGAGAAGAAAAAATACAGAGAAAGGAAGATTAGGAAAAAACCCAAGTCAGAAACAGCAAAGAAGAAAGGGTGAAGAATAAGCACAAGTACAAAATGTACAAAACCATAGAACTACCTGTAAGGAAACAGAACACTGGGCCCTACTAAGCCATGTGGAAAACCCATCTGATTCTTAATTTTCCTTCAACTGTGCCTCATTCTGCCAAGGAGAGTAAAACCCCAAGAGCACTGCAGAGCAAATTTCGTGGCATCGGTAAGCAGAATACTAGAACATCGAGGGTCAGTCTTACATCTTGTCCATGAAGGCCAGCCAGACCGGGATCTCCTTTTGCTCCTTGCTCACCCTAGAAGAAACAATTAATACAGTGAAAAATGTTATATCTGGACATCTTTACTAGGAAAAACAGGAGCGTTTTGCTGTTTGGGTATTTACAACAACGTGATTACTTTGCTAATCTCTTGAAAGAAACATTTATTTAAAAACGATTCTGAGTCTTAAACCCAAAGATATGTCTAGAGGTTCAAAGAAAAGCTGTATAAAAATGATGACAGGGTAGAAATAGAGCAAGTATTGTTTATTTTCTATAAAGCAGCAAAGAACTTTCTGAAGGGCAATTTGGCAATGTATAGCAAGGATCTTAAATCTGTTCATTTTATTTGGACCCGTGATTTTGCTTCTGAGCAGGTTTCCTAAGGAAACAGTCAGAGATAAATAATTTTAGGCACTCATATAAAGAGTGTAATGATAATTAGAGTAGTAAAAAGGAGAAGTATTTTAAATATTCAACAACAGGGAACCGGTTATATAAAATACAGGATATAGAAAACAAAGAATGGGCTATAATGTAGCCACTAAACCATGTTTATAAGTTATACTTTGTACTATGGAACAATTCTCATGCCATAAGGAGTAAGATTCTATGAGCAGATCGACAAATTCAGTGAATAAATGGCAAATAGTATCTATTTGTATTAAAGTTACAAATGTTCCAATGGCTTCTAACACCATTGTAGATGACACACATATCCAAAGTAATATGTATTTTTTGTTTGATTACTTTCTGGAAGGTATTTACTTTAATTGGTTCACCTACATATCTATGATGTAATTTAAAATGCCTGGTCACCTACCCATCTATCTCCCTTCCTGCCTGCATGTTCATCTACTTACAGGTCTTGGTACTCACTTTGGTAGAATAAAAACAAGCAAAAAGAAAAAGTGGTTAATTTACATATTCTGGGATTATGAATGTTTTTTCCCTTTACTCTTCCTTTGTTTTCCACCAATAAATGTACATCTTCTGGGACCAGCAGTTAGCGTAATGGCTATGTCGCTGGACTCCCACGTAGTTGACCGCGGTTCAAGTCCTGGATCCAGTGGCTTAAACTCATGCCAGGGGCATGTGCATGCATGCCTAAGATCTGGCGAGCGTACACGTCCTATAGTAAAAATCTCTCCAAAAAAAAATGTGTATTTTCTATATAGTCCCTACAGTGTTTAAAACAGAATTATGATGTGTAGAAAGTCTGTCTCCGTGTGTGCATGTGTGTGTGTGTGTGTGTGTGTGTGTGTGTGTGCGTGTGTTCGGTAGCAGCAGCAATCTCTGCTTTCTGATAGTACGATCATTTTAATTCTTGTTTTTAGTCTTATCTAGTATTCTTACCTTTGTTCTATAAGGACAATTATTAATTTTTACTTGGGGAAGAATGAAAGCAATTCAGGCACTTGATTTTAAGAGATAATACATAAAATGATCTATGACAAGAAATACATGTGTGCACTGCCAATCATCTAAGGATATGTACTATCACTACACTGAAAACACAGGGAATGAGATAAATAACTTAATCTGCTCTTTGGCGTGTAAGATACACACATACACACACACATATACACACACATGCACACATAATATATGTTTTATACAGGACAAAAAAAGCACATTGCAAACACATTCTCTGAAATACGTGCAAGTTAGAATGAAGCTGAGGATTTTAATGACTGGAAACAGAGGACTTAGCAGTCATTCCTCAGCTGTACTGTCCAATATAGTAGTCACTAGCCAAATATGTATATTTAAAAGTAAATAAACTGAAAAAAAATCTAGGGTTGGCAGGTAGCATGGTGGTTAAGGGCGCTGGACTGACTACGGTTCGAGTCCTGGACTTGATAGCTTGCTTTCTCACTTTCCCTCTCTCTCTCTCACTCTGTCTCTTTTTGGTCAAATTAAAAAAATAAATAAACAAATAAATAAAGTCAAATAAAATAATTCTTTAAAAAAGTAAAATAAAATCTAACATTCAATTCATCAGTTGCTCTCATTGCTGCATTTCGAGCGTTTGAATTGTCTACTGTACTGTTCTGTGCAGATTGGAACATTTCTATCACCAGAGAAAACGTCACTGGACATTGCTGATATAGAGCATGCCACATATGACAGAAGGAAATAAGAACTAAGAGGCGCAGAAATACACAGAAGAACGTATCTTTCCGATAAGGAGATCTGAAACAATTCAGTGTTTAGAAGTCGACCTAAGATGTGTTCAGCACAAGGTAATAGAATGAATCAAAATTTTGACATAAGAAGACAAGTACCATTCCATGGATATCAACACTAACTTTCAGCATGTCACTAAGAGTGAATATAGACTTTATTAAAAAATAATGGCTCTCAGAGATGGGAAGAATAAGTAACTCTACATACTAAAGAGATACGTACCTACAAGGAAATCTGTAAGCTTAATGGGGCAATAAAAGTTACATAAAATTAACATAGAGAAGCTAGTTTATGTTCCGATGGGGTTTATGCTGCATGGCAAGAGGATAATAGGAGTGGCAGGAGACTAAAGAAGAAACACACTGCTTTAACACCCGAAATGTTTCTCATGCTGTGGTCAGGGACTTGAACCACACAGTCGGCCATGAAAGATCCAGCTGCCTTAGCAACACACTAGGCCAAAGTATAGTTTTAATATAAAAAGAACATAAATAAGAACTAAGAGGCGCAGAAATACACAGAAGAACGTATCTTTCCGATAAGGAGATCTGAAACAATTCAGTGTTTAGAAGTCGACCTAAGATGTGTTCAGCACAAGGTAATAGAATGAATCAAAATTTTGACATAAGAAGACAAGTACCATTCCATGGATATCAACACTAACTTTCAGCATGTCACTAAGAGTGAATATAGACTTTATTAAAAAATAATGGCTCTCAGAGATGGGAAGAATAAGTAACTCTACATACTAAAGAGATACGTACCTACAAGGAAATCTGTAAGCTTAATGGGGCAATAAAAGTTACATAAAATTAACATAGAGAAGCTAGTTTATGTTCCGATGGGGTTTATGCTGCATGGCAAGAGGATAATAGGAGTGGCAGGAGACTAAAGAAGAAACACACTGCTTTAACACCCGAAATGTTTCTCATGCTGTGGTCAGGGACTTGAACCACACAGTCGGCCATGAAAGATCCAGCTGCCTTAGCAACACACTAGGCCAAAGTATAGTTTTAATATAAAAAGAACATGGGGGGGGTCACTATGATCAAATGAGGTTCGTTAAAAGTTATTTTATTATCATCAATTTTATCAGACACCACTAAAATATTTACTATGTGCCAGGCACTGCTTTCAGTATCTTACAATTTTACGACAATGTAGAATAAAGACATACCTAGTACCCTCATTTTAGAGGTGAAGAAGCTAAACTTCAGTTACTTGTCCAAGGTCACACAGCTTGGGAGGGGGTAGAACCCTGATTCAACTCAGGCAGTATGGTATACAGTCTGTTTTGTAAAACTACTAAACTCATTTGTTTTTAAAATACCCCAGGGATTAAAGTAATAATAATTGATAATATTCACTAATAATAATGATAATTATTATTATAGAGTGTATCTGGATTTCTGCAAAGCAAGAGTCAAAATCTCTCAAAATGCTCTTCAAGGTAGAGAACAGAAATATAGGCTAGAGAATATTACTACTGGTGAGTATATAACTGGCAGAGGAATGGTATCCAATAATAGCTATCTGTCTATCATCTATCGACTAATATCTCTCATTGGCTCTTCATTCTGGGATTATGGATAATTCCGAGTTGTGGGGGCTGACCTGCACATTGTGGGATAATTGGCAATGTCCCTGGGGATAGACATCATGAGGCCAGGAGTGAGTCTCTCCCTCATGCCCTCTACCCTAAGCATTGATAATAAAAATGTCTATCGTAGTCTCAAAATACATACAGACATTGTTCCTAGAGGGTGAAGTAACCTCTGGTTGAGAGTCACTGGCATATATTATGAATATAAATGTAGCAGATTCATAATGAGAATATTACAACAGACTTGAAAAATATGCTACAATAAACATCTTGAAATTTATTAGAAATATGTAATCTCTCATTTTTAGTTGATTCTGGATGGATTAGATAGCTGACTCCCAAATATTAAAGGATTCAGAGAAAATATAGGTGAACACAACTCAGCATTCATCATGGACAGGACATCTCAAAGCACTGACATACAAATAGAAATTTGTGAGAGAAAAGAATATTTTTGACAAAATATTAATTACAAACTCATAAGGCAAAAATAATATAAACTAAACTAAAATGCAAATAACAAATTGGGAAAAATATATGGTGTGAATTGTATTATTAATGTGAAAATATTTTTATCATTTATAAGAAACATTTATGTTTCAACTGATAGTTGAGCAAAACCCACTTCAAGCAATTTATCACAAAAAGATAAAAAAGAAATGCTATCAGGATAATATTTCAACTGGTATTAATTTGTCAGGTTGTATATCAAAACGCATTGAGCTTTAAAACTTCACCATTTCTTTCTTTTTTTAAATTAATTTTAATTTTATTTATTTATTATTATTATTTCATTCAACCAGAGAGAGAGAGTGAAAGGGAAAGTCAGAAAGCAAGCCATCAGATCCAGGACTTGAACCATGGTCGGCCATGTGGGAGTCCAGCGCCTCAACTACCACACCACCTGCCAGCCCCATAAAGCGTCACAATTTCTAATTTGATCATTCTTTTAAAAAAAATAGCAATGGAAGTTCCATATCCAGAAGACAAAAAATATTCAAGTGTTGCATATTTAATAAATCCCAAACAATAGAAAGTTGACAATAGTAACCAGCTGTTCCCTTTTTCTCCACTGAGAAGAAAATGAGTAAAACCCAAACTGCATTACTGAAGATTTAAGCTAAAATTAGAGAAAACTTATTTGACATCTGAGATTGTTAGAGAGTAGAACGTACTTATAGATTGTTTCTTTTTCTTTCTTTCTTTTTTTTTGCATAAGTTTAAAAGCAGAAAAGATTCAAAA